TTTTTAATTTTAATATTTCCGTAGACAAATTTTAATTTCAATTCAGCTAATCTTCTATATTTACGAACTTAAGTTATAAAAATGTCATAATGAAGCGTATTTTGGTAATTTCTTTGAAAACTAGAAGATAATTTCTGTCCAGAATCTTGTGATTCAATATAAATCAGCAGTTGGTTGCTTACGCTACGCATAAATTAAAATAAAATGTTTTCTGATTTAAAAATTTTTAATACCAGTCAAGATAGAAAAGACTAACCAACTAACTATTTTACTTTTTATTCTGTACCGTTATTTTAAGTTAGAATCTTTAACCTCAAATAATTAAACTAGTTTTTTTTTGTTCTAATTCTTTTTAATGTTGTTCTTTTAGTTTCTTTGTACAATTGTATGTATTTTTGTTCCTTATTATTATAGACTACACAAAAGTACATTCAGATACCGTTCGTTAATTCTTCATCAGAATCATTCCTTCCAAATTATATTAACAAAAAAAAAAAAAAAAAAAAAAAAAAAAAAAAAAAAAAAAAAAAAAAAAAAAAAAAAAAAAAAAAAAAAAAAAAAAAAAAATGGAGAAGAAAACATAAATTTAAGTATTGTTAACATTTTAAATATATGACAGCATTGATTTAAGCAAACATCTAGTATAATGAGACAAGCACTTACCTATTAATACAAAAATTTAAATAATATATATGGATTTCTTTAACAAATAAATAATATCGAAATACGATTTTGACGTTCATTTATTTTTTTAAATTTAAAAATATAATTATAATTAGATAATATTATTTAGTTTACTTCTGCTTACCAAAAACATTTAAAAAAAGTTAAAAAAAAAAATGCCGCACGAACGAAAAAGATCAAAAAAAAATTTTTAGAAGGTATAGTCGTCAGGTTTGCGTGGCCACGAGTGTACTTAAATGTTATGGCCAGGAATTTGGCTTTATTATAAATATAAGAGTTGTAATTAACCTTTAAATATGATTTCGTACAAGGGATCAAGCAGCTGACTCGAGTAAATTGCAGCCGATAGCCGAATTGCTATTTTCGACCACTTTTTGGAGCCAAATATTTTCTTCCGAAGAGTCAATCGTCTCGGGTTTGTCTGCGCAGACAAGTGACAACTCATAACCCCACAAAAAATTAAAAGCTTCCCAAAATAAATTGATTGTTTCATTAGTTGTACATGCCAAGTGTTATCCACATCAACATCGTCCAATTCAGGCATGAAAATCTCATTAATTGTGGCTCTACTACTGTGGCCAAAAAATATTTTTTTATTTAAATTTTGTCTATCTGTGACATCTGTGCCAAATGGAGAAAACGTTCACAAAACGTTGGGGCCAAGGGGATACTTTGAGGGGACTACATAGATTTTGAAGAATAATTTAAAAACGTTGATATTATGAAGAAAGTCTCACTATTTTTAGTTCTTAGTGGCATAGCGTTCCCCATTGACTGAAATACGGTGGCCGACTTCATTTTTGAAGAAATATAGGCAAATGAGACCCTCTACCCATAGATCGAACTAAATAGTAACTTTTTGAGAATGTAAAGACCTCTCAATAATGTCTTGTGGACTATTATGACTCCAAATGTGACAACTTTGTTGAGTACATAAGTAACTCTTTCAACAAAAGTAAGGTTCACTTCTGAACAAAATTTTCTTGTGGAAATCATGATCGCTGCCTATTTTGTTTTTTGCGCTTATTCTTGCACTTGATGATCGTTCGTTTCGACACTGTCTTAAAGAGCATAGGGCCATACTGTACCATCGCATCATCATATCGAATATATGAATTATATAAACTGCTTAAAACTTTATCTTATCAAATGGCTACGACTGTATGCATAATACCAAAATTACTTTCTTGTACAGTGTAAATATTGATTTTATTTTTAGAATTTTTGTTTTGTTCCAATATTTTTTTTTAAATAGGGTCATTCGAACTTTCATTCGTTTCATTGCTCTGTTGTGATATTTGTGAGTTGCGGCTTTCAAGTGATATTTTACTCTTGCGCCTGCGCACCGATTCCATGGACTGAGTGCGTTTCTTCAGCGACAATTCCGCTTCGTTCATGAGGCGACAATTCTCGACAAAAGCAACCAAAGCGGGACTATTTAAGCTGTTCGCCACAAGCAAGGCTTCGTCGAGTATCTCTTTCGCACGTTCCACTTTATGGAGCACCGCATGCGATTTGCAAATCAGAATGGTGCTCAAGAAGCGCCAGACATTGCTGTTGCAGTTTTTAGACTCTACCAAAATGTAAATAACAAGTGAGTAAGATTGTTTGAATGAAGTTGATACGGAACGGAAAAGAAGTAATACAGACCTTCAATTGCTTTGCGCGCCACCGAACAGCACTCATCGAATCGGCTCTGCCCCAAATGACTTCGTGCGATTTCGTGCAGCAGATAACACTTCTCAATCGAGTATTTTGCGAAATGTATGCGTTTCTCCAAACGCGCTAAATATTTCCTAGATGAGCGGGAGAAAACTTTTATTTTGAGTATTATGTAATCGAATATAAAAGTCTATAAAAATGTATGCCTTGAAAAACGAAACATCGAAAAAAATTTTTTTTTCATAAAAATATCAAATCTTGTGGGTAAGCGAAAGTGTAATAGGTTAGAATTTATGGTATACCTATCCCTTAAATTTATAATGAGTGGGTTTCGAAAACCCCATAGCAAACTCACTTGTAAGCAATCATAGTATAATCGGTGGCATCGGGTTCCGTATATGTGGACTTATCGCCGAATACAAAAGTGACAGAACGATCTTTATTTTTGTCGGTGGGTATACGTAGTAGGTGCATTAAATTTGTATTTTTCTTGCTTTCAGTTGCAGAATTGCCTTCATTTGGCTTAATATAGCGATCAGTGTAGGCTAGCGCTAAAGTGTTATAAACTTCGTTGAGAAATTCAAATTTCCATGGCATGACACGATGGGTCTTCAACACGACATAGTCGCCCATAACTTCCTCGACATATTTACTGAGTTTCTGGAAATTCAACAAAAGGATGACATAAAAAAATATTTGAAAATATTAAACAAATATTTTCAACACGAATTCACTCACAGCAATTTGTCCCATAGCCCGCAGCTGTCGTATCGTACGCAATATTGTCAACATATTACGACGAGTTTGATACTGTATGTGATTCAAGTGCGCTTGTCGATGCTTCTCCCATACCTCCTTATCCGGACACTTGCGCATTTGCTCATTGTAGAGTGGGCTGCGAGCTTGCAACATTTTCTAAATATGTGTAGAGGGAATGGTTCTGAGTACCATGGAAAAGAGTAATATGCACTTAAGCATATTTTTCATATTTCAAAGTGGGTAGAGATTCCAAGGAGAACCAAAACGAAGTCAAATGGAGTAAAATATTAAGTTAGGTTTAAAGGTCGATCCTAACAAAGATAACACTTGTACAACCTATATCCGGTTCGCGTGGTAACTAGAACTTCAATAAAATTGATCTTTAAGATCCTCATAAATCAACCAAGCGCCTTGAAACAATTACAGATTTATTGAAGCGACTAATGTCAGTTTCGGTTATATCTCCTAGTTCAGGGAAATTTTGATTAATGAGATGTTAGAACCTGAGTCTTATGTAGATAAACTGGATAATTGAAGAGAAAATGTGTGGATTTTTCCACCTCAACTTATTTTGTAAAACTTGTACAGTTTGCATCCGATTTGATTTTTAGTTACAGCATAAGTACCTATTGAACAAAGCCCAGTAAGAACTCCTATTTTTTTTCTCTGTTCTGTTGTCTGCGGTGTCTCCTCTAGCTAGGCCATCGGCTATGATGTCTCCAGCATTTTCTCTATGACCAGGCATATGACGAGTCTGATAATGAAGTAACTGTATACTATATCTTATCTTGTGAGCTTTGATATTGCTTAAGTAACTTTGAAACACAGTCTACGAGTTAGTATTGTCACTCAGCTGTCGGGAGTGAATGCTCACATCCCTGCACTTCGGAGCAGTAAGTTTACTGTTACTTTAATAGCAGACGCTATTACTGCAATAATCCGGTGGCTAAGCTTAACGAAAGACTCCTTACAGAAACCTGCCCTCCAATCTTCCCTTCTAGCCTCGGCCCATCCATAAAAAAGTGTCTTATTTTCAGTGACTTTTCCCCATAATGATGAATCGGTATGTGAGCTAATATGGTCTAAATTTAAAAGGAAACTAATTTCAACGTGACTTTGTTTCAAGCCCTTCCTTTAGCGGATATTATCGAAGCTATCCTGCTCCATGCCCTCTAGGATTTCGCAAGCCTCTTGAATATTTTTGAGAAGCTTCATGTAAAAAAGCCGAAACCTCTTTGATTCCTGCTTGGCTTCATTAATTAATCTTACCAAAAACTTCTTCAGCACATCGTATTTGGTGTTGGTCAGATGACGCAAAAATGGTGTGGAAACTTTGCACTGCGGCAACAATAAATTTCCATTATCGCGCAGATCCTTAAGAAACAGTACATCGATCCAACTTTTGTTGTAATATATTTGATTGAAGACTTTGAAGGCGCGTTCACGTCTGGCGATCTCGCGTGGCGACAACAGCAATTCCTATAATTTGTGAGAAGAAAGAGTATATGCTATTTCTTGAACCGATTTCATTTCTTACCTCCTTCTCGAGTATGCTGAGCACATCACATTTACCCTGTTCGCGCAATATCTTCCACAAAGGACGCGGATCCACGTACTTCTCCTTCTCCAATTGTTCCAGTACTTTGGCGAAAATCTTCTCATTTCTTAATATGAAGGGGCCCAGTGTCTCGCCAATGGAGTCTTTGAAATTTTCATCTACCACAATTAAACGGTTCTGAAATGCGGACACCTTCTTGCCGTAGAACTTGTGTGTGTTGTCGTGAAGCTCGACTTTGCAGTTCTCGAATTGGTTCAGCTCGTACAAGGCATCGCAGATCTCCAGATTGATTGGTGCATTATTCGGCTCGATGGCTGTGAAAAGAATCAGAAAAATGTTGCTTTATTTGTTAGGTGATTATAGCTGTAGCTCGCCTGTATGTACCTCCAGCTGCCAGTCCGTCTTCGAGCGCGCCCTGTGTCTGCGCGATGTTACGCTTGCACTGACTGCGGAAGTAAAGGGCACGCGAATCATCGTTCTTCAGCTCCAGCGATTTGTCATAGTACTTCGCCGCTATGTCCAATTGTTGTTTGTGCGTGTAAAAGAGACCCCAGTCGCGGTAGATCAGCTGTACGTGCTCGTCGCTCCAAGCGATCTTCTCCCATGGCAATACCGGTACTTCTTGCATTTAGCTGATTTATTGATTTACTTCTATGTATTAGTTCAAATTGTTCCCGATAAATGAAAAATGCGATTCGGACGGATTTCGTTGTTTTAAATATGCAGAATTGACCAATTTATTTATTAAAAAAATTTATTTCAATTTTTGTGGCAATAAATGTTAAAAAAATATTATTTTTCTGCTGTCGGTTGATCGTAATTTTAATTCCGAATATTTTTGCCTGTATATTTGAGTTCTGAACAATTGTACTTGAAAAATTGGGAGCAAAATTTACAATGAAACAAATACATACTATTTTGAAAATAACGCGATGTCAATTTTCATTTTGGGTGCAAAGAGTTGTAATGCTGGTTGTATTGCAATTAATACCAGTTAAACATGAAATTCGAATTCAGTTAAGGCATAAAGTTAGTTTGTGAAAATGCAGGACCCTGAGATGTCATCTCGTACACTCAGGTGGAGGCGAAATCATGGTCAGCGCTAAGTATGAAACATTAAAACCGATAATCGAGATTAGTTATGTGGCCTTCTCAAATACCTTAATTAATTTATAATATGAACAAGAATGATGTAATCAATTTCGTCTATAACGTTCAATAATCCATTCAAACTCAGTAATATTTGATTGTTCTGGAATCAGAACTGATCTGAATTGTGAACTTCTATTTTAAAGATATTTTTATGAATAAGATAATGGTAAATTGAGATTTCTTGAGCTAAGAAATATCCACAAAGCCTTAAAGGTTAAAAAAAGTATTTGGAAGTATATCATAAGAACCACCTCGATACAAATCTAAATAAATCAGACTATATACAGGTGAGAATACCCGCTAGACGTAAATGTAGAAGAGACTTGGTAGGGGAGGAGAGTAATCTCTAAATCTATGTCGCTGGGTCCAAAATGGACTGAGATGCAGGAACGGAAATATACTCCAAGAATTTGATATCTTTCCACTCTCTTTCCGTCTACCTAGATATAGACAGTCTGCGTAATATTTTTGAATATATGTGACCTGGTCTACGAAAAGGGAGCTAACGTGCGAAAACTAGTTTTCTGGGAAACAGCTGTTAAAAATCTCATCTTCCATCCGAATCAACTAAGAAGTGAAAATTGATTTTTTGGATTTTTTGACACCTAAGCCCCCTTTCCGTAGACCAGGTCACATATATGGAAGTATCCATAAAGCGACCGTCAGGCAGCATTATTAGTGGAGTCGTCGCAAACGATCAATTTCAAAGTACTTTCCATTTTTGAGGTGGGAAAGAAGGTTCAAAGTAAACATAAATAAAGATGGTTAGCTACTCGCAACACTGCAAACATTTATACGGACGGTGGACAATGAAGTTGGTGCGGTTATATACTGTCCGAAATTAGCCATAAGGCAGCTTTTTAAGTTGCTGCGCCACTGCAGTATATTCCAAGGTCTGTGATATTGCAAAATCCGCGGCGCTGGCCTCTGATGCACCTGATGGAAATTTCAGAGTCAATATCTACGAAGACAGCCAATCAGCAGTCAAGACAGTAACCTGGTATCGCATATCGGCCATAATCATGGACCTAGTAATTAAACTAGTCTATACGGAGCTCATTGGCCTACCAGATTAACCTAACCTAACTTAACCTATTTTATAGGTCCAGGAAAAGTATCTACAGACTTACAGATACTATGACGAAGAATTGGGAAGTGGGAGAACATGCTTTAAAAATGGAAATGCGCTATAAGTATACTTGCCACAGCTGCAAACTCGAAGACAGTAAGGAAACGGTTCTACACTTCCTCTGTGAGTGCTCAGTGCTATCACAAACCAGACATCGAACACTTAGAATCCATCAAATATCAAACCTTGAATGTCTTTCTATAAAAAGCATAACGGAGGTAGATAGTGGGCACCAAATGATTTGTATACAACGATGAAACGTTATATAAAGGTCTAACGGATATCGTTTGTTACATTAAATCTTTTGTCATATCGTTCGAGCCATTTGTTTGCTTAAAATCACTTGTAGGATTTTTCATAGACCAAGTAGATAATACGATAAGTTTAATGTGTTTTGGAATACTTAAAAACACTCTCGGGGTTCCAATAAGGTCACATTCGAAATTTTTTGCGAATCGGTTCAGGGATTTCGAAGTCTTTAAAATGCAAACTTAATAGGAATTTGTTCAAGGTTTCATTAGATCCGACTACACTCGATCTAACGTGTAAAAAAAAATCAATTAATTAAAGAAACAATTTTAAGAACATCATAAAGGTGTTAAGGTCTTTGGCTGAATCCTTACGTTTATTAACTATTTTTAAGGATCGGCATTGCATTACATACATTATATGAAAATAATTTTGGTTTACACAGAAACTCAACAAAACGAAAGTTCATTCAAATTCATCATCGTCCTTCTTCTCCTCCTGGTTGGTATTGCCCGAACCACTGGAATTTTGCGACAAGTGACTGCTGACAATCGACGAACGACTCTTGCGCCTGCGCACCGAGTCCACGGACTGAGCACGCTTCTTCAGCGATATTTCCGTTTCGATTGATACGCGACACACATCTATGAAGTGTAAGAGTTCTTCGCTCTTTAGCAAAGTAGCGCAGTCGTAAGCCTCATTGAGCGCATCTCGGCCCCTTTCGACTTTGTGTAACACGGCGTGAGATTTGCAAATGAGCAACGTGCTCAAAAAGCGCCACAAGTAGCTGTTGCAATTCTTCGATTCTAAATAGAGAAAAAGTTAGTACTCAGCGATTTAGAACAAAATTTGTTGGAGCACCAACCTTCAATGGCCTTCCGCGCCACAGAGCAACACTCTTCAAAGCGGCTCTGCGACAAATGGCTCTTTGCGATTTCATAGAGCAGATAGCACTTTTCAATCGAATACTTGGCGAAATGCATACGCTTCTCCAAGCGTGCCAAATACTTTCTAAAATTATTTGAAAAAAAAAATATTTCTTGAAATTGTTTTCTTTACTTTTTACTCAACTCACTTGTAAGCCAGCAGCGGATAATCGATAGCATCCGGCTCTTGATATGTGGACTTGTCTCCGAACACGAATTTCATGCTGCGGTCTTTATTCTTATCGATGGGTACTTTTAAAAGGCGTGTGAGACGATTACGTGTATCATAATGAAAATTCATGTCCGGTGGTGCGGTGTAAATGTCGGCATATGCTAGTGCCAAGGTATTGTAGACTTCATTGATGAATTCGAATTTCCACGGCATTACGCGGTGTGTCTTCAATACCACATAGTCGCCCATTACTTCCTCGACATATTTGCTGAGTTGCTGCAGATATATGCGGGTTATAAATTAGTGTAGTAAAATGTGAATATATGTATTAAAAGAGAGAAGACACCCGTATAAACCAAATATTTTGAGATCTTAGGTCTTCAAAAACTAGCATATTGAGGGACGTTAATCCACCACTTTTACCGATGATAAATGAGTGAGGCTTCCTAGAAGTTTTCAACACTTTTTAAGAAGGGACCAGAGAAATTTCGACAATGCGAGTCGCTGCCAAAGTATTCTCAAAGACCTGAGTACAATATCGTCGAATATTTGACAATAATAAACCGACGTCCTTTTAGTCCGATTAGTTAGAGCAGAAGTTCCCAAAAACTCTTAGGAATGTACTAAAATATTTTAGCTCAAATGTCGGGAATGAAATTCGTCGACATAGACCGCGAATCATAGAAAATCCCCATTACAACGAAATTATTCCGAAAGTGAAAAAACTGGTTACAATCCAGAGGAATATTTATTTATTAAGAGACCCAAAGTAGTTTTGTTTTGGACAGGTTCCCCACTGCTCCGATTGTATTCCTTACAATATAGATCACTGCATCACAGAATCTTCTCTTGTAGGTTCCTTCTCGGCTCTCATACCTGCGCTGGATTTGTGGGCGATGGGAAGCCAATGGAATTGCCGAAAACTGCAAAGCCGATGAGCTAGTTAAAAAATTCGCCCTTTCCCCAATTTCATCGATAGCAAGCGAGTTTCTAGAACTTGTACGACTGTAAATCCTTCTGGTACAGAATGAACCGTAATTGATCTTCCGAAGTAATTTCTGACTGGACACTTTCCGATAGTTTCGCACACGGTATGGCAAGTATTTTGTCGGATACTCTTTGGAAAGCGAAGTGGAATCATCTTGTCTCTTACTCATCTATTTCCTGATATTGGCAGATAAGATAGCAATATCTCGGTAGATATACCTTTGGTGAACCTTGCTAAGTGGATGGGTTTGATATTAACATCTTTTAAAAATGTTTGGTAAACTCAAAACGCTTCGTCGTTCTATGAGAATCTGGTGATCCACTTGGAATTTATGGGTCGCTGCTTGACGCCAACTGGAGATTCCAAGTGTAGGCAGGTCCTTACTTGGACCACTTGGTCTCTCCCACTGAGTGGAGGTTGGAGGATGGAGTCAAGTGTAGAAAATCACGCAAGTGAGTAAGGTTCTCGAAATCAGAGCGCCAACTTGGAAGTTGTGGTGCGTTGGGTTTGGGATCCGCTACTTAAAACCCCCCAAATGAAAAGGAATATGAATTAGTTACTTACTTTAATTTTGCCCACAGCGCGTAATTGCCGTATTGTACGTAAGATCGTGAGCATATTACGACGAGTTTGGTATTGTATATGATTCAAATGTTTCTGACGCTGAGCTTCCCAAATCTTTCTATTGGGACACTTACGCAACTGCTCAGTGTAGACCGGACTACGTGCTTGTAACATTTTCTAGTTAGCCGAAAATAGATAAAATTAGAAATTAATATTTTTTATTATACTCAGTGTTTGGTATACTCATTACCAGGAACTTTTTAACCACATCATATTTGGTATTCACGAGATTCCGCAAAAATGGCGTGGACACTTTGTTCTGTGGCAATAGTAAATTGGGATTTTCGCGCAGACTCTTCAAAAACAATACATCAATCCAACTTTTGTTGTAATATATTTGATTGAAGACCCTAAAAGCGCGCTCCCTTCTGGCAACCTCTCGTGGTGACAGTAGTACCTCCTATAAAATGGAAAGTTTTTACCTTCGTCGGTAATATTTAGGGCCGCAGATTGTTTACCTCCTTTTCGAGTATGCTGAGCACATCACATTTACCCAGCTCGTTTAGTACTTTCCATAGTGGTCGTGGATCAACGTATTTCTCACGCTCTAAAAATGCCAAAACATCAGCGAAAATCTTCTCATTTCTTAGTATGAAGGGGCTCAACGTATCGCCGACGGTGTCGTTGAAATTTTCGTCGATCTTAAATGAGAGATAGAGAGATATGTTAGATGAAATCCCAAAATGCATTTGCTCTTCTATCAGGAGCTATATTCAACTTACCACAATAAGCTTATTTATAAACC